AAACTTTATTAATTGCCAAAGTCTATCTCGAAGCATTTTAAAGGCTTGCGGTCCCTCGAACAGTTTCCTTAACAGACTAACACAACGTAAATCTTCCTTGCAATTTGTATAACCATTTATGTTCCATGTTCTGGAATTTTTACCGGGAAAAATGCTTCCGGTGCGAAGAACTTGTTTCTATCGAAATGGATCCCGTTCTTCGCACGTACCTTCACACTGTTTTCAACATTTGCAGCGATTCTAGGTTTCCTTGGTGACAATCACGCTTTTGGTTATTTTAATACTTTATAATCTTCGCGAGTTGAAAGATCGGGTTAAATTATCAATTTAATAGAACGCATTTTACCATCTTACCATCAAGTTGCACGTATTAAGCCCTTAGCCTTGTCGTTAAGCGAGATTAACTTACAGAACCAATTCGCTGTGATCCATCAAGATCACATATTGCTGTCGAACGTAACACGGTCGAGCCTCGACACAATTTAATTGTAAATTTTCAGGACAATAGATTTGTTACGTATACGTGTCCTAGCATAGCCTTGAACTAAACCAGCTGCATAAAGAACTCGGAAATCGGAGATAAACTTTATTGCGACTACGACTGACGAACGCCGTCCACATTGCGGAATAGAATTTTACTTTCTTATCAGCAACGGTACGCAATGCAGTAAAAATTCTTAAAATTAATTAAACTAAAATTTAGTCATAATTATGTACACTTTATACATGGAAAAAGCCTTATAGACTTTGCACGTTGGTCAATTCGCTCGAAACTCGTCTCGAGATGATAAATTACTACGCGACGGATAAGCTTCCGCCAGCCTTGGAGATCTTGGCGATTTCCTCCTTGAATTTTGCGATCGTCTCTTTCGCCAGGGTCAATTTCTCCTTCAAATCTATCACTTCGAGCCTGATCTTGTTGCGTGCTTCCATAATGTCCTTCATCGTCGATTCCTTCAGCGCTTCGACTGCAGGGGCAATTGCGAACTCATTAAATTATCATCGAATCAGTCCAAGGCGAGACGATCGTAGTGCAATTATACAAACAATCTGTATTGTGCCGCCAAACCCCAAGCGTCATGGGTCTGCTGGAGCTCAGGAGGTGCTGCATCAGCGCTGTCGGATCTTGAAAGACTATCTCCTCGTAAAACTCCGACACCAGACTCTTCTTACCCAGCTGTATCTCGGTCGACGATTGAAACAGTTTCAGTATGTGATATACCGTCACCTAAAATCAATTCACCTTCCTTACGACCGACGAGATAACAATCGGACGCGGCGAGCACCCTCCTACGAGATCGCCTACTCACGGGACGTTCGTTCGGATCGTGAAAGTAGACCTTGATGACTATCTCGAACTCCCCCCAGCCGGTCTCCGTCAGCTCGTACGGCGGCTTGGTCACGATGCGATTGGGATTGTTGTAACTCTCGTGCAGCTTGAAGTGCACCTTCTTCACGTAGGTGGACATGTCCTCGTTGTGGTACGGCTTGACGTACACGGTCCACTGATGCGTGTGTCCGTCCTCCTCCCTCTTCTTGCCGAAGTAACGCGCTATGTTCCCGTAGACTATAGGCTTCACCACGGTAACTCCCTGTCACGAGCAAATCGTTCGATAAAGTAACGTCAATTTTCATCGCGCGAATCCCTTCTACGGGAAACGCCGTTATTCGACGTGTCTTCTCGTGCCGTTGAATTACTATTTTTTTTTCTAACACCCTCCCGCGGAAACGCTTTCCGACCGTTAGATTATATCGGCGGTATCTCTGGCGCCAAAATATCGTAGGTTACGTTGCCGACAAGTCTCGCCGAACTAATGCTCTTTGCGCTTCGAGTAAGCGGGACGCGCGTTTGAAATTTCGCGAATGCGAAAAGAAAGATTCGACGTGGTCCACCGCGGTAATAAAATACACGTCGGCACGGTCGTTCGCTATTTTAGGTTACCTTCACTCTACCGCCAGAATCTGGACCGAACTCGTTCGTGGATGCCATTCCGCTCGCGACAAGCTTGAAATTCCAGCTTGTCGCACGTCTCTGATGAAGACGCGAGGCCCAGAGAGTTATTCAAACGGCGTTCTCTCCCTCGATCATCCTCTCGCGCGTCTATCTCGGCCTCGAACGAAAATATTTACATACTCCATTTCTCCCGAATTCTTCAGCGCCGCGTAACGGACGCCGGAAACACTAGAAGCCAACATGGCGGCGCACCAGCGCGTACTTCAAACGCAGTTCAATGTATCGCTACATCGGGATACGCTCGAAAATGTAAAATAAATTTTGTTATAAGAAAACCAATATATTAACAACAAAGGGTAAAATTTTACACGTTAGTATTCTATAAATTTCACAGATATTCTACACATTTTCACCTCTCGATCCTGTGTAACTTTTCACAAGAACACGCTTACCTTTCACTTCCTCACATTACAGTTTCGGATAAATATCGAAGATACTTGCATTGTCCCGGTTAATAGCCTGGCATCAACATTTGTGCCGCGCGCGCGCGTAAACCTCGTTCGCGTTCGTAAGCGAATGACGCGCGGTTCGCAGAACAAGTCGCCCCTGTGTATTTCGTCGAACAGGAATATCTAAATCAGTAGGTGGACTCATAAAATTGCATGTGTTATTTATTATATGTTTCTCATCGATCGAGATACATATCCATAATCGAAATCCGTAATTCAGCTACTTAACATACAAGATCGCAACGTATATGTTAGACAATGGACTGAATTGTAACGTGTTCGTTAGCTTGATCGGAAGTATTATCGCACAATCTAAGGTATTGTACTATATATCTCGAGTACCTTTACGTAGTCGAGTATTATTATCAACGTCACAATCTCACGATACTTGGATCCGCCTCCTGGAAGTCTCTAAGAAACGTCCGACGAAATAACGTTTGAAATATGGATGTAATAAAAAAAACAGACACGCCTTCTCTCAGATTCGCGAGCGCTTCGAAGTATCTGCCGAAGGAGAAAGGGATATATATATATGTATATTTAGAATATAGGATTCTATCTTGGAGTCACATGTAACATCGTGTAAGTATTGTCTGATCGGGACAAACTTTTCTCCGACAAGAAGCAAGTACTTCGAAGCACGCACTGGTCGGTGGACGCGCGAGTCCGTAAGTTTGTCTAAATAAAAAAAAAATCTTGTCTAAAAGACGCGTGTACACACGTTCACCAGGCTCTTCTCGTCGACGATCATCCCTGGTATCACATATGTTCTTCTCGCTACCTAGCTAGATGCCAATCAAAAAATATAAAAATCACAAGATCACACGCGCGCAGCGTGCGGGTGTGTGCGATCGTGACGCGGGACCTGCGTCGTCGCAGAGGTTCCTCCACCCTCGTGCCTATGGGTTTCACAGGGTACCCTGCCGATCGCGCTTCGTCTCTAGCTTGTACACATTGTAGGAAGAAAAGGGCTCGGATGCGCGCTGATTCACGTACGCGCGAGAAGGGGCGGGCGGCAGCCAGCTGCCGGGATCTATGCTGCTTCAGTGTTCTCGGTATATCAACGGTAGGGAATAGCTGCGCCGTGCTTTACGAAATTCGTTGTTATCACGTGCGTAGTAGCTTCTCCTTTCCTCGGAATTTCTCGTCTAGATATCCCGGAATCTGAAAATTGAAAGTTCCACAACGGGCATTTTAGCGTTTCTTTGCCGAGAGATACGTTCGCTGCGGAGATAAAAGAGCAATCTACATGTAAACGCAGGCTGAGAGGAGGATATGTTTCTCTATCGAGGATACATGCTCTACAGTAGGTTCATTTGCTAAACAAAGAGACTTTATTAGCATATTGAAACAGGTGAGATCAGCTGTTATGCTACAGCTACGATTTTTAAGCCTTTACTATCTTTGCATTGCTATCGTTGTCTTACGCAAGAATATATAATTGCACGTGTATAAGTACTATTTGCCTCGTGTAAGGCGATACAATTCATTTATCTCTATCGTCCACACTTGCAGGCTGTTAGTCCTCTATAATTAATTTGACTATAATTGGTTTCATAAATTTTCAAGATACAATCTTCATGAATATATTAATTTAATTCTATCGTAACTGAATTAGTTGCTTTTTGCTGATCGTTCGAAAGGTTTAATTATTTACATAATCCACAATCATTACATTGATAAATATAAATTCTAAAAACTGTTACCCTCGTATCGCTGTGAATAAGCTTAATACGAATACACATTAGCGTTTAGTATCATAACGATTCCGCAATATCGATGCTTATACTTATACTTTCTGAAAGAATAGCACAGATAAATATAAATACAGATTAATAATTGTCCAGCGAGAATATCATTACAAACAGCAATATTTTTACAATTCAAACAAGACTAACGTCATTGTGATTTCATATAACATATAAAATTTATATTAAAAGCACACAGGTAGCACGGTTTGTCCCAGATCCGTAGGAAAAATGCATGCGACGAATTTCTAATTTATGAAAGTGGCTTTTCTTGTTTTTAACGGATGCAGATTCTAGAATGAGGTTTTGATTAGGTACAAGAAAAAAAAATTCGTTTCTCCACTATAGATAACAGTGTCAGGCACTCTGGGAACATTAAAACATAAGCGACGCATAGGGATTAAATATTTTATTAGCCTAGAGTATCGGTGTCGGAAAATTAGCAAGCAAACAGGAAGGTACTTGCTCTCGCCATCTCTATTCTCAGCAAGTAAAGCACGCTCGAGGGAGGAAGACACAGTTGTTACGACTTTATATAGATAAATTCTACCTTTGGTTTCGCCCGATGAGTGTCCACGGCGTCTATCGGCAGGCGAATCTTGACCATGTTGCAGCCGTAGGCGACCGGTGTCAATTTCACAATGGTGTGCAAAGGTACTTCTAAATACGGTAATTCATCTGAAATAGGAACCATTTCAACCAACGTCATTAGTTCAACCGTGTACAGAAATAAACAACGAGCCACTTCGATACGTTTCTCGTACTAACGGCAATGCTGCGCCAAAAAAACGGAATCGCGCAGCGAGAATGAGTCTCGCCGAACGATCCGAGCGAACAATTACGTCAGCATAATTCGCTTTTGTTTGCGCGCGACCATTTATCATTTATTTTCTCAACACATTTTAATACGCCGAAGGTCAAAAGTTGCGTCTCGATACTTGAGTCTGCCCATTCTTGGACGTCATCGCGTGCCCGGGCACGTTCCGCGTCACGGCACCCGGCGACTCGGATCATTTCACTTGCACGTGCGAGTAATCGAGAGCAGATCTCACTATCCTATGGGATATTGAATGATAACGAAACAAGATATTTTATCGAGATATACCGACCTGCATTTTTGTCCAAGAAGTACGCGAGTAAACACCGTAGCACCGCCTGATGACTGACGACCAAGACGTTACCCTGACGCTCCAGCTCCATTATCACGGGCTCCAATCGCGCGACGAGATCCTCGTAACTCTCCCCCCTTGGATAGCGATACGAGAATTTGTTTTGATCTCTCGCGGCAAAGTCCGTAGGATATTTCGAGGCGATCTCCTCGTAAGTCATCTCCTCACAAATACCCTATCGACAAAGCGGGGCAAAGGTGAGAAATTGATTAATTAGTTTGTTTGTTTAGCGCTTCAACTTACGGCGTCAATTTCGTTGAGAGCCTTCCACCTTTCTTGCGGCGCCTTTACGTCAGCCGCGGTCTGAATGGTTCTCTTCAGCCAGCTAGTCCAAACTCGCAAACCCTACATAGACACGATGTCGTTTAACGTAACGCCGATGAGACGAGATTGCTTCAAGAGTCAAGTGATCGCGATCAAAGTAACATGCGAAAAATAATGGCGCTTACGTAACGCACGTGAAGCGTGCACACTTTGATCGTTGAATTCATATCTAAATTATAATTTCCTTGTGACTGGTCGCATCGATCTTCGTATTATCAAAAATTGGACATACAACGATCGGAATCAAAATCAAGTAAACGCGTCTTATCGCGATACTTATATACGGGACAGCTCAAAAATCTATAAACCTGTATGTATGTCCGTAAACATATAATTATTAAATCGACGAATTGTAGAGGAAAGTTCCCTATTATGAGATAGGTTTCTAATATGCGATAGCAAGGCTTTCGACATCTAAATTCAATCACAAATCTCTTTCGCAATGATTACACGATCTAACAATGAATTTTTCGAACGAATAAAGACTAAAGAGCCGTGACAGGATGTTAGTGTCTAAATATTTCTTATTTTTTAATTTATTGCGAAAAATATTACCTCGGCCAGGATTTAAACTTCCCTCTCACTAGACATGTACACGCCTCGGTGGTTCGAATTGGTGAGATGCCTTAATATTTTTCGCAAGAGGTTTAAAAATAAGAAATATTAAAACATTAATATCCTGGCTCTTTAGTCTTTAGGCCTCCTAATTGGTGCTTACCACGCGACGGCCTTATAAATTTTATTGAAATGAATTTTTCACTGAACAGATTTCACTCCAAGGGCAATAAATTCATGGTGGAACCAACAGATGATGCCTGTTAATTTAGCAGAAACCCCGCTATCTCGTATTAGGATCTTATCTCATATAATAATAGGGGACTTGACTCCACGTTGAAAAGGTCAAAGAGGATCACCTGTATGTTCTGACCACTGATGTAGTCTGCCAATGCCTTCGCATATTCACGACCCCGCTCGCTCAGGTCCGAGTCGCCGCCTATCCTGCCCTCGAGGTTCATCAGGCTCTCACCGTGCCTGGTCAAGTAAATTGTGCGTGGCACAATATGAATGTTCATAAGATAGTAAACTATTCTACTTTGTATATGGCCTTCGTGCTTATGGACCAGCACCTTCTCGCCGGTGTTGTATATTTTCATGAACGACAGGTCGCTCTCGCGCTCCTCGTCCAACGGATGATATCGCTCCTGGTAATGCTCGATTCGCAGCATGAAGTCCGCGAGCACGTCCTCCTTCTTCATATTCGCGTAATCCGGACTACTGACTTTCACCTCGCAAAAGAAATCATATTTTGGAACATATTTATACATGTAGTACCGGCGAAAATTATATCACCTTTCGATCTTTTTTTCGAGCGCAACTAGTTTTAAAGTACGCGAATGAAAAATTCGAAAATCATGGTGTACTTTGTCAAATTTCATTACCCTTTATGTACAAGACGCAACTGTTATCAGGTGTCTACTGTAAAATCTCGAGCACATTCGATGCGCTTTGACGAAAGTTACGCTCAGAAAACCTAAAGGTAATTTTGACCGGTACTGTATTCATATTTACGTATGAATCATTGTTTCAAAAAACCGATCAAGCTGGCGAAAAAAGTGATTTTTATTTAAGTCACTTTTTTGTCAGTTTGGTCGGTCTCTTAAAACCCCCCTGTTTAATTATCACTGGCGACAATAAGCCTCGCTCGATTTGGTTACGTATGAATGTTAATCAATTATTAATATTCAGACTGTGATGTCCCAGATAGCCAATATGCTCAAGCAATGTATGGAAATAAAATGCCAGCAACTGATGCCAGCTCTTCGCTAGGAATTTAAATTCAATATTTGAGTGATTTAAGTAGAGCTAGCATAATGTTAACATATTGTCGTAGTTAGTTAGTTTTTTTTGCAATTTTATCATACATTTCACTAGTGAAACGTATATTAAGTATAATTACTAATAAAAAGTATGGTAAAATTTCAAAAAACTCTCATAAAATTCTTCGAAATGCCATGTTGTCCCTTTGATTACGGGATTTTCAGGGTAAATTTTAAGAGAAAATTCTCTCCGTGTAGAGTTGACACTAGTTCCCATATATAAAGTATAGCATTGCCCAGTTGCCACCTGCCAGCTGCTTATCAAGTACATACTTCCATAATGTTCTGCTCGACGATCTCCGGATCATTGCACACAGACTCGACGAAGAAGAGCTTGAAGCCCATCTGGCCTACGACTATGTCGTGTATGAGCTGGCGTCTGTCGACCGTGGAGTTGGTGGCGTCGAAGACGGCCACCTCGCCGTCACCACTCTCCAGCCACTGGCAAACGTCCTTCAGGGCCTCCTTCGCGCACTGTGTGCGTATCGCCATCGCCTTTATGTTGTCGGGACGGAAGAACTCGTGGCATTGATAGGCCGTGGTGGCGTGTCGCCTGTACTCGCCCAGGTTGAAGACCTTCGTGCTGATGCCGATCCAATTGAGGTACCGGCAGAGCTTCTTGGATATGTAGGTCTTGCCGCGGGCCGGCAGGCCGACCATCGCGATCACGTGGGGCTTGTTCACAAAATTCGCGCGTTCGCCTACGAAGAGAAGATGAAAGAAAAGTGTCTAATAGAGATGGATATTGGAGAAATAGATACCAGGACAATTAAATACATAAGAGATCGTCGAGGCATTTTAACTAACAGCGTTATCACTGTTTCAGCCGTTTAGATGGGACTGACAGATTGAATATGTTATGTTGATTTCAATGTCAATAACGATAACCGCTTCAACGTTGCAGTCTCGAGATACGCCGAATTCGCATGCAGATCCGTTCTGACTTCGCGATTAATATTATCAGCTGCGACTTTGCTAGATAAAGGCTGCGGTTTACAGTTTTGTGTTTACTTGCGCGCCTGCGTACGTACACGCGCATAAAATTAAAAACACGACACGTGTGAGTGAAACTTGCGTCGAATGTGCATAAAAAAGAAATGTATGAAATTTTATAAAAGACTCTTGTCGTTACGTGACGCTGCAAGTGAACACGTCTTTTAACTCGCTTACGAAACCAGATCTAATCATACACCATTACGAGACGCGTGGTAAACTATTTTTTGTCGAAATCTGGCACCTCTCGCGCGAGTGGGGCGCGTAATAACGCGCGCGTACGTTCCATCATTAATCTCCTAATCACGAATCCCGAATTTGTCCAAGGAAGATCTGAGATACCGAGGTATAGGCACAGGTTTTCATTTTCTGGTTTTCATTAACTGTTAACCAGAGGTTTACTCTCCGCCGTTCTTTTTTTAAATATTATTATCTAAGCAGAGACAGAGAATTGACTAAGTTCTGGTTAACAGTTAACCAGAAAATGAGAAACCATAATATAATAACTAACCCTGTTTAAACCCGAGCGAAAAAAATTCATATAAATAACTGCAAAAAATTGACTTGAAATAGAAATTGGTAGAAAGTTTTACATCTTCGTCGAAACATTTCTTTTCTTGTAAAAATATCTACGAAATGGCATCACAAATTACAATGTTCTCGAGTCAAGAAATGATTGCGAGTAGTATTCCATGAAAATGTACAATTTTGCAAAAATTAGTACAAAACTTTACTAGTTTTAAAAATTTGAGCAACAACAAAACCTTAGAGAATTGAAACATCCGCTTGCTAGTAGAATATTACAAAAATTGACAAAAGTGTTCCAACTCGAGCATTTTCATGTTGATTTTTATAACACTTTTCAAAGTTACGCAGAATTTCTTAGACTCTGGCAGTTATATTTAATTTGTTTGTAGAATTTTGTAGAATTATTTCCCTCAGGGAAGTATTAGAATATGATGATCATTTGCATTACACGAGGGGAAAACCGCTGAGGGCATTGTGGTGTACAGATTTGCGGCATTACTGGGCATTATTAGGCTTTTCTTTTTTAGGACATTAGGCCTTGCTGGGGCAGTATAAAGATAAACGAAGATAAAATAAGATAACAAGATTTGGGTCAGCGGTTTCCCCCCTCGGCATTACATTATATGCAATTTCAATGCAAATAAATAAAAGTCTTAGGGCCGGTTGCTCCAACCTCTTGGTAAGTTAACTAACAGTTCAATCGTATATATATGTTTGTTTTTCCCTTAAATTAGATAAAGATAAACGTATAATGCAACTATTAGTTAGCTCACCAAGAGGGTGAGAAAACCCTTATTAGTTCACATTGATATTGTATGTAATCTAATGTAATCTCAGCATATTCTATTACTTCAAACAAGGCAATGTACACATAAATAGATATGCACACTCGAGAGCTGACGAATGCCTGAGATATACTTGAAGAGAGAGATAAGATACCTCGGAAATTTACCCGGGAAATCCTTGTGACTCTCTCTCTCTCTCTTAAATCATACATAATTATTATTTCGATCGTATCGTCTCGCCGCTAATGACAATCCGTCGACAGATAATCCTGCCCGAAGAGTTTAAAGTCTGCGGCGCGTTCCTTCGTATCTGCGGACAGAATGAGTCGTAATAACTTTAAGTAGCAGAGTTTTATCGGCTCGAAGTCGAAGGTACATTTATGTAATCATCTTTCTTTTCTTTTTTTTTATATTTTGATGGATTATCCTGTCCCCTTGAAATTGGTTGATTTAAAAAGCGCATTGTGGACAAATCATTTCGAGGAAGCTGATGCGCCGAGCGCCGTTATCTTCCTCGGAACGATTTATCTAAGGCGTTCTTGCTTCCTCGGAAAGCGATAATATGCATATCGCCGTATCAAATTATATTTATCCTCGCGCGCGAAGGAAGTGAAACGCGTCGACGTACTCGGAAACCACAGGAGAGATTCTTTTTCTCTCTTTGACGTTAAACTCCTCGGCTGCTCAAGGTTACTAGTGGAGCAATAAAAAGCGATAATTTATCTTGCCGCTCCAACGGCGATATGTCGTGCGTCAAGTACGTTCTGTCCAAGTTTCCCTGCGGGGAGGCGTCCACTTCCACCAATGTGGATCAACTTGAATCAATTAGTTTGCCTCGCGCTTCTTTTATCTTTGGCAGAAGATAAGAAGCAAGTTAAATCGAGATTAAGGGGATCCTATAGTCGTCTTTTTTATCGACACAGTCAAATATAGATTTGTACGCTTTTAAATCTTTTTATTGGCCTCTACGCACAAAATAATACCGTCACGATTGCTTATAAAGTGATATTTTTAATTTCTCTTCGTTTTTTATGTAAAGTTGTGAACCCTCGGCTTTGCTTTCTCTGCGTACTTCAAGAGCGTGCAAGAATTTTGCAATTTTACAAAGCAAATTTCAAATGTAACACGAGTAAAAATTGGAAAATTTCAAATACCAATATCTCTTTTTATTAGACCTCCGAACTGAGCGTTTTAAGCGTGAAAACGTTCTGCTACGCGGCCCGTAACTCATCCCGTTATTGCTTTGTGCATAAAAGCCAATAATAATAAGATTTACAAGCGTAAAAACTACATTTGACTGTAAGAAACGAACGTTGTTCTTCTGTTATCTCACTGTCGTCTCTGAAATCCGCCAGACACAGATGAAAAAAAACACTGCATGTTAACGAAGGATAATTGAAAGGCTGCGCAAAGTAGCGCAGCCGAAAGGATTGGACGTCGACTAGACGGCGATCGTTAAACTGTTATCGGTCCACGCTGAACAGATGATGTCAGGTAAAACAAATAGGTTTCCGCCTCCCGTAGTTTCCTGAAACATACCTGCACATTTGATGTTGATTCTCAAAACGGGAATTGGAACGTTCTTCCCTCGCGCGGAACGGAGCCTAGCGAGAAATGACCCGTCGAATCGACGCCTACGACACCGTCAAATCGACGTCGACGCGACGTCGAACGACGAAGCCGTCTCTCGCTGGGTTAGGGTGCGCGTTTTTCCCGCTCGCGTTTCCACGGCCCTCGCGCCTCCCGCCGACAGGCGATCGCACGCCCGATCGACGGCGAACCGGGCGGACGACACCCGGTACGTTGACCGCGAGACCGGGGACCTTGAACTTCCTCCGAAACGCAACCGCGAGCTCACTCACGTCCCTCGCACGTGTTCGATCTTGCGAGTGCGTAGGGGGGGAGGGAGAGGGTGGCGCGAAGGAGGCAGAGGGGCGGGCGCGGGACGGAGAGAGAAAGATACATACACTTTGGCATATCGCGCGATAGAAAGAGAGGGAGACAGAGCGAGAGAGAGAGAGAGACAGAGAGAGCGAGGACTCTCAAAATATTACCTCGTATCGGGAACGGCTTCGTCTGGATGGTGTCTGACGTCGGCGGGGTGTAGTGCATCTCGATTTTGGGGTCGGTCATCCTATCCGGAGCGCTGATCTGTCCCGCTGAGGAGGGAGCGAGAGACGACGCGAGACGGCGAGTGCGAGACGGAGAGCGGCGTACGGCGGAGATTCGCGTGTGTTGACGCGCGCGAGCCGATCCCAGACCGTACGCACCGTGCCGACTACGCGTACTGACCGACCAGGAACGAGCACGAACGACGAACGGTCGGGAGACGGTTCGCCGCCGCCGCCGCCGTCGCCGAGCGTCGTATACGTTGGTATACGTCACCTACGAGAGAGCGACGGTGATAGGGTGGAGGGAGTCGTCCGAGTCGTCGTCGCGCTGTGACGTCGTCTCTCTCTCTTTCTCTCTCTCTCTCTCTCTCTCTCTCTCTCTCTCTCTCTCTCTCTCTCTCTCTCTCTCTCTCTCGCGCGCGCGCGCGCGAACGGCTCGATCATGAATCTTCTACATAAAAAACATATAAAAGCGATGGCAAATTAATATTTTGTATTTTAACATTTTAATAAACTAGGTGTGACCTCAGCAAACGCCAGAGTAACAATTACGTAACATCAACGCAAATGTAATTTAACAGGCATGTGTTATATTACATTTGTATTGATGTTATGTAACTGTTACTGTTGTTTGCTGGGACAAGTCATGGTGTGTACTGATTCGATGTAACCCTAACGTAAGTAAAACGAATCTATAAAACGATTCTAAATAATGCAAAGTCAGAACGATTAATTGATTCGCTTGTTTATCTCATCTGGGGTGCTTTCGCGACGTAGATCAAAATGATCCGGATCAAAATGATCCGTGCTATGATTGGTTAAATCTGAAATTTCGTAGCATCACATTGAAATTTTATTCAATGAAATTCCAGATTTGACCAATCATAGCACGGATCATTTTGATCTACGTCGCGAAAGCACCCCAAATGGCAGACAACTTAAAGCCTGCCACAGACTACACGCAGCAAGCGGCAAGCGTCGAGCAGCAGCCAATCAACGAAGAGATATTTTCTACGCCACTGCTGACGCTTCCGCAAAATTCAGCAGTGTTGGATCCTCGCTGCTTGACGCTTGCTGCTTGCTGCGTGTAGTCTGTGGCAGGCTTAAGCCTAGTGCAGACTGCACGCAGCAAGCAGCAAGCGTCGAGCAGCAGCCAATCAACGAAGAGATATTTTCTACGCCACTGCTGACGCTTCCGCAAAATTCAGCAGTGTTGGATACTCGCTGCTCGACGCTTGCTGCTTGCTG